GCATGCGCGCCGTTGCGCGCAGCGCGGATCAGCACACACTGGGGGCCTTCGTGCACGCCTGCTTTGAACGGCGCACGGTAGCCACCTGACTCGCAGTCACACAACGCTGGTGCTTTACTGTACAATCCCATGAGCCTGGATGGCTCCAGGACGGAGCGGGGGACCGCGGGACGCTGTAACAATCCTAATCCTAATCCTAATCAGTGCGCACGTCACACATCAGTCTGCCTAAACTCACGTCGTTTAGGGGCGCGCCTCATGAGGACGACTGCGCTGCTGTAGGGATAGAGTTCGGTACGGTTAACCTAGACGACGTCTGCTCAAACCGTTCCGCATGGAAGGAGGCTCACCTCTCCCTCCTCCAGGAAGCGTGGGCGTTGATCATCTCACTTCTTCCTGCTGACCGCATCCATTCCTGTCTTTGATACGGTTTCCTGTCTACTTCAGGGCTGGAATGACATACTCCTGTATCATAATCTATCTATCATGCATGCATACGGTGTGCTGCATGCATGCATGCATCCATCCATGGACGCGTGCATCATGGCCAAACAGGATGATTACTCGTTCATACATCTGTGTGAGGCTCTGCTCAACCCACGCTTCCTGGAGACCTTTCGTGCGAAGAAATGAAGCACCTGCCAAACGCAGCAGCTACATCGGCAGCTACAGGGCAGCTACAGGGCCTTGCAGCATAAGCGAGCAATGGCATTTCAGCTGGTTGCCTCGTCACATCACCTGCGCTTTCTTGTTGACAATTGGTTTGGATAATATATCCAGTGCACACAAACTACTCACCAAACATTTCGAAGCCTACACTCTGACAGCAGCCCTTTCTCTGAGCTGACCACTTCCTCCGCGCTTGGTGCTGTAGAATTATCCAGAGCAGGTGCTGGGTTCGCCCCCAGTGGCGAATTTGAGCGAGCAGGCACTTGCACCTCCAGGCTTCGCGAGGCAGTGAACTGCGTAGGCCCTTGCAGTGATGCCATTGTGCTACTGACGGCCTAGGAGCGGGCAACGGGCAGCCAACCCTGCCTGCGCTGCAGCGTTTTCGGGAGGAGGTTGAGGGGTGCCTAGTTGCTGCGAGGTGCGTGCGCTGGCTGGGGGCCATGCTTGGCACAGGTGGCGCACAACCTACGGCACCAGCGCGAGCCGCTGCCGGCTGCTCTCAGTGCCTGCTAAGAGGTGCAGTGCTGCCCTTAGTCTGATGCTGGCTTCATCGCCATGCTGGTTACAATGCCAGGGTAACAAAACGTTCAGGCATTGCGTGCTGCCTGCCGCTCACCGCTCTCACGATCGCCGATGTAGCGTGCGCAGGCACTTGTCCCCATGGATGCGCCGACTTTACGGCAGCAGCTGTGGCAGACATTGCCTGAGTTGTTCCCAGGCACTGACAACACCGTATTTCGTGGTGATGCGGTCGAAGTAATCTTCCAGAGGCCCGAGGAGTGGTGTGCTGGTGTGCTGGGCATGCCTGTGGACGATCGCAAGGCGGCCATCGAGTCAGCTGTGCGGAGTGGGTGGGCCTTTTTTTGTACGCTGACGCTGTGCAGCAATTGCACAGTGTGCCTCATGTATCAAAAGTTCCTCGGGGGGTTTCCTCGTAAGTCC